CAAGGAGCTGAGATACAAGGACAAGGAGCTGGGATACAAGGACAAGGAGCTGAGATACAAGGACAAGGAGCTGGGATACAAGGACAAGGAGCTGGGATACAAGGACAAGGAGCTGGGATACAAGGACAAGGAGCTGGGATACAAGGACAAGGAGCTGGGATACAAGGACAAGGAGCTGAGATACAAGGACAAGGAGCTGGGATACAAGGACAAGGAGCTGAGATACAAGGACAAGGAGCTGGGAGATAAGGACAAGGAGCTGGGAGATACGAGGACAAGGAGCTGGGATACAAGGACAAGGAGCTGGGATACAAGGACAAGGAGCTGGGATACAAGGACAAGGAGCTGGGATACAAGGACAAGGAGCTGAGATACAAGGACAAGGAGCTGAGATACAAGGACAAGGAGCTGAGATACGAGGACAAGGAGCTGGGATACAAGGACAAGGAGCTGGGATACAAGGACAAGGAGCTGAGATACAAGGACAAGGAACTGGGATACAAGGACAAGGAGCTGGGATACTAGGAGGACAAGGAGCTGGGATACAAGGACAAGGAGCTGGGATACAAGGACAAGGAGCTGGGATACAAGGACAAGGAGCTGGGATACAAGGACAAGGAGCTGGGATATAAGGACAAGGAGCTGGGATACAAGGACAAGGAGCTGAGATACAAGGACAAGGAGCTGAGATACAAGGACAAGGAGCTGAGATACAAGGACAAGGAGCTGGGATACAAGGACAAGGAGCTGAGATACAAGGACAAGGAGCTGAGATACGAGGACAAGGAGCTGGGATACAAGGACAAGGAGCTGAGATACGAGGACAAGGAGCTGGGATAGAAGGACAAGGAGCTGGGATACAAGGACAAGGAGCTGGGATATAAGGACAAGGAGCTGGTAACCTCAAGAAGAAGAAGGGTTAATGAACCACCAGCAACAGAACTGGAGATAAGTGTCACACACTCAGATTTAATAGAGAGCAGAAAATGTACAATCAGTTGGGATACTTGTTGGAATACCAAGAGAAGAGGTGCCATACCAAGAGAAGAGGTGCCATACCAAGAGAAGAGGTGCCATACCAAGAGAAGAGGTGCCATACCAAGATAAGAGGTGCCATACCAAGAGAAGAGGTGCCATAACAAGAGGTGCCATAACAAGAGAAGAGGTGCCATAACAAGAGAAGAGGTGCCATAACAAGAGGTGCCATAACAAGAGAAGAGGTGCCATAACAAGAGGTGCCATAACAAGAGAAGAGGTGCCATAACAAGAGGTGCCATAACAAGAGAAGAGGTGCCATAACAAGAGAAGAGGTGCCATAACAAGAGGTGCCATAACAAGAGAAGAGGTGCCATAACAAGAGAAGAGGTGCCATAACAAGAGGTGCCATAACAAGAGAAGAGGTGCCATAACAAGAGAAGAGGTGCCATAACAAGAGAAGAGGTGCCATAACAAGAGGTGCCATAACAAGAGAAGAGGTGCCGTAACACGAGAGCAATATGTGAACACAAGTCATGTCCTGTGTGCCACAGTCCACGTGCACACTGCTCCTCACACCAAACATCAACCAATATGGACAAGACGCTGTTGAAGTTACCTGCTCAAAATATATCAGTAGAAGACTCTTTCTTGAATTCCTCGACCATTGTTGTTAGCGCAAAGGAGCCTGGCAGAAACAATGTAGGCCTACAGGCCTAGGCGAAGCAGGAACACTGCAGTAGGTCTGCTTGCTGTAAAGCCTCTCAGTGAATGACGTTACTGAAGCAGACAGCGTCTGCTGCACGTCAGCAGTGAAGAGGTTGGCAACGTCAGGTAGTTAGGGGGGGGGGGACGCCAGGTAGTTGGGTAGGGGGGGGGCAGGTAGTTTTGGGGGTTGCCAGGTAGTTAGGGGGGCGTGTTCACCGTCATGAGTCACTTGTCATCGACACTCTCCTGAGTTTGAGTGACTGCCGCTGATGATGGAGGCTGCAGCCTCGCCTGACACAACCACTCCTTACACACCTGCAGTCTCACCAGCAGTGACAGCTTGATTGGTCAAGCAGGTGGCTGGGGAGGGCCCTGGTGTATACAGGCAGGTGGCTGGGGAGGGCCCTGGTGTACAGGCAGGTGGCTGGGGGAGGGCCCTGGTGTACAGGCAGGTGGCTGGGGAGGGCCCTGGTGTACAGGCAGGTGGCTGGGGAGGGCCCTGGTGTACAGGCAGGTGGCTGGGGGAGGGCCCTGGTGTATACAGGCAGGTGGCTAGGGAGGGCCCTGGTGTACAGGCAGGAGGCTGGGGAGGGTCCTGGTGTACAGGCAGGTGGCTGGGGGAGGGCCCTGGTGTACAGGCAGGTGGCTGGGGAGGGCCCTGGTGTACAGGCAGGTGGCTGGGGGAGGGCCCTGGTGTACAGGCAGGAGGCTGGGGAGGGTCCTGGTGTACAGGCAGGTGGCTGGGGAGGGCCCTGGTGTACAGGCAGGTGGCTGGGGAGGGTCCTGGTGTACAGGCAGGTGGCTGGGGAGGGCACTGGTGTACAGGCAGGTGGCTGGGGAGGGCCCTGGTGTACAGGCAGGTGGCTGGGGAGGGTCCTGGTGTACAAGCAGGTGGCTGGGGGAGAGTCCTGGTGTACAGGCAGGTGGCTGGGGAGGGCACTGGTGTACAGGCAGGAGGCTGGGGAGGGTCCTGGTGTACAAGCAGGTGGCTGGGGGAGAGTCCTGGTGTACAGGCAGGTGGCTGGGGAGGGGCCCTAGTGTACAGGCAGGTGGCTGGGGAGGGTCCTGGTGTACAAGCAGGTGGCTGGGGAGGGTCCTGGTGTACAGGCAGGAGGCTGGGGAGGGTCCTGGTGTACAGGCAGGAGGCTGGGGGGAGAGTCCAGGTGTACAGGCAGGTGGCTGGGGAGGGCCCTAGTGTACAGGCAGGTGGCTGGGGAGGGTCCTGGTGTACAAGCAGGTGGCTGGGGAGGGTCCTGGTGTACAGGCAGGAGGCTGGGGAGGGTCCTGGTGTACAGGCAGGAGGCTGGGGGAGAGTCCTGGTGTACAGGCAGGTGGCTGGGGAGGGCCCTAGTGTACAGGCAGGTGGCTGGGGAGGGTCCTGGTGTACAGGCAGGAGGCTGGGGGGAAAGTCCTGGTGTACAGGCAGGTGGCTGGGGAGGGCCCTAGTGTACAGGCAGGTGGCTGGGGAGGGCCCTGGTGTACAGGCAGGAGGCTGGGAAGGGTCCTGGTGTACAGGCAGGTGGCTGGGGAGGGCACTGGTGTACAGGTAGGTGGCTGGGGAGGGTCCTGGTGTACAGGCAGGTGGCTGGGGAGGGCACTGGTGTACAGGCAGGAGGCTGGGGAGGGTCCTGGTGTACAAGCAGGTGGCTGGGGGAGAGTCCTGGTGTACAGGCAGGTGGCTGGGGAGGGCCCTAGTGTACAGGCAGGTAGCTGGGGAGGGCACTGGTGTACAGGCAGGTGGCTGGGGAGGGCACTGGTGTACAGGCAGGTGGCTGGGGAGGGCACTGGTGTACAGGCAGGTAGCTGGGGAGGGTCCTGGTGTACAGGCAGGTGGCTGGGGAGGGCCTTAGTGAACAGGCAGGTGGCTGGGGAGGGTCCTGGTGTACAGGCAGGTGGCTGGGGAGGGCCCTGGTGTACAGGCAGGTGGCTGGGGAGGGCCCTGGTGTACAGGCAGGTGGCTGGGGAGGGTCCTGGTGTACAGGCAGGTGGCTGGGGAGGGCCCTGGTGTACAGGCAGGTGGCTGGGGAGGGCCCTAGTGTACAGGCAGGTGGCTGGGGAGGGCACTGGTGTACAGGCAGGTGGCTGGGGAGGGCCCTGGTGTACAGGCAGGTGGCTGGGGAGGGTCCTGGTGTACAAGCAGGTGGCTGGGGGAGAGTCCTGGTGTACAGGCAGGTGGCTGGGGAGGGTCCTGGTGTACAAGCAGGTGGCTGGGGGAGAGTCCTGGTGTACAGGCAGGTGGCTGGGGAGAGTCCTGGTGTACAGGCAGGTGGCTGGGGAGGGCCCTAGTGTACAAGCAGGTGGCTGGGGAGTGTCCTGGTGTACAGGCAGGAGGCTGGGGAGGGTCCTAGTGTACAGGCAGGAGGCTGGGGAGGGTCCTGGTGTACAGGCAGGTGGCTGGGGAGGGTCCTGGTGTACAGGCAGGAGGCTGGGGAGGGCCCTGGTGTACAAGCAGGTGGCTGGGGAGGGTCCTGGTGTACAGGCAGGTGGCTGGGGAGGGCCCTGGTGTACAAGCAGGTGGCTGGGGGAGAGTCCTGGTGTACAGGCAGGAGGCTGGGGAGGGCCCTGGTGTACAAGCAGGTGGCTGGGGAGGGCCCTGGTGTACAGGCAGGTGGCTGGGGAAGGCACTGGTGTACAGGCAGGTGGCTGGGGAGGGCCCTGGTGTACAAGCAGGTGGCTGGGGGAGAGTCCTGGTGTACAGGCAGGAGGCTGGGGAGGGCCCTGGTGTACAGGCAGGTGGCTGGGGAGGGTCCTGGTGTACAGGCAGGTGGCTGGGGAGGGTCCTGGTGTACAGGCAGGAGGCTGGGGAGGGCCCTGGTGTACAAGCAGGTGGCTGGGGAGGGCCCTGGTGTACAGGCAGGTGGCTGGGGAGGGCACTGGTGTACAGGCAGGTGGCTGGGGAGGGCCCTGGTGTACAAGCAGGTGGCTGGGGGAGAGTCCTGGTGTACAGGCAGGAGGCTGGGGAGGGCCCTGGTGTACAGGCAGGTGGCTGGGGAGGGTCCTGGTGTACAGGCAGGAGGCTGGGGAAGGAGTAAAGTCGGAGAGGATCGCGCACGTCTGGGCGGGTGTGAAGACAATAACAGGTGAGGAGCGAGATGATGGAGCGCGCAGGAAGAGTGAGCAGACTAGGATGTGATGGTGAAGATAGAGAGCGCTCTAAGTCTCGGCTGATGGCGCTCGTAATGGCCAATGATTCGCCTTCCCCGGGACACTGAGCTTCAAGCGCGGGTAACCGGCGGGCGCACTCGCCAGCGGTACGCATAGCTTCCATTACATTATGGCTAGCCATTAACTACATAAATGCTTTCCGGCTGAGTTAGGAGTCGAGGCGCGCGGTATCTTGTACTTCAGCGGTGGTGAGCACAGCGGTGGTGAGGAACACAGCGGTGGTGAGGAGCACAGCGGTGGTGAGGAGCACAGCGGTGGTGAGGAGCACAGCGGTGGTGAGGAGCACAGCGGTGGCGAGGAGCACAGCGGTGGCGAGGAGCACAGCGGTGGTGAGGAGCACAGCGGTGGTGAGGAGCACAGCGGTGGTGAGGAGCACAGCGGTGGTGAGGAGCACAGCGGTGGCGAGGAGCACAGCGGTGGTGAGGAGCACAGCAGTGGTGAGGAACACAGCAGTGGTGAGGAGCACAGCGGTGGTGAGGAGCACAGCGGTGGTGAGGAACACAGCGGTGGTGAGGAACACAGCGGTGGTGAGGAGCACAGCGGTGGTGAGGAGCACAGCGGTGGTGAGGAGCACAGCGGTGGTGAGGAGCACAGCGGTGGTGAGGAGCACAGCGGTGGTGAGGAGCACAGCGGTGGTGAGGAGCACAGCGGTGGTGAGGAGCACAGCGGTGGTGAGGAGCACAGCGGTGGTGAGGAGCACAGCGGTGATGAGGAGCACAGCAGTGGTGAGGAGCACAGCGGTGGTGAGGAGCACAGCGGTGGTGAGGAGCACAGCGGTGGTGAGGAGCACAGCGGTGGTGAGGAGCACAGCGGTGGTGAAGAGCACAGCGGTGGTGAGGAGCACAGCGGTGATGAGGAGCACAGCGGTGGTGAGGAGCACAGCGGTGATGAGGAGCACAGCGGTGGTGAGGAGCACAGCGGTGATGAGGAGCACAGCAGTGGTGAGGAGCACAGCGGTGATGAGGAGCACAGCAGTGGTAAGGAGCACAGCGGTGGTGAGGAGCACAGCGGTGGTGAGGAGCACAGCGGTGGTGAGGAGTACAGCAGTGGTGAGGAGCACAGCGGTGGTGAGGAGCACAGCGGTGGTGAGGAGCACAGCGGTGGTGAGGAGCACAGCGGTGGTGAGGAGCACAGCGGTGGTGAGGAGCACAGCGGTGGTGAGGAGCACAGCGGTGGTGAGGAGCACAGCGGTGGTGAGGAACACAGCGGTGGTGAGGAACACAGCAGTGGTGAGGAACACAGCGGTGGTGAGCACAGCAGTGGTGAGGAGCACAGCGGTGGTGAGGAGCACAGCGGTGGTGAGGAGCACAGCGGTGGTGAGGAGCACAGCGGTGGTGAGGAGCACAGCGGTGGTGAGGAGCACAGCGGTGGTGAGGAGCACAGCGGTGGTGAGGAGCACAGCGGTGGTGAGGAACACAGCAGTGGTGAGGAGCACAGCGGTGGTGAGGAACACAGCGGTGGTGAGGAACACAGCGGTGGTGAGGAGCACAGCGGTGGTGAGAAACACAGCAGTGGTGAGGAACACAGCGGTGGTGAGGAACACAGCGGTGGTGAGGAGTACAGCGGTGGTGAGGAGCACAGCGGTGGTGAGGAGCACAGCGGTGGTGAGGAGCACAGCGGTGGTGAGGAGTACAGCGGTGGTGAGGAGCATAGCGGTGGTGAGGAACACAGCGGTGGTGAGGAACACAGCGGTGGTGAGGAGCACAGCGGTGGTGAGGAACACAGCGGTGGTGAGGAGCACAGCAATGGTGAGGAACACAGCGGTGGTGAGGAGCACAGCGGTGGTGAGGAGCACAGCGGTGGTGAGGAACACAGCGGTGGTGAGGAACACAGCGGTGGTGAGGAGCACAGCGGTGGTGAGGAGCACAGCGGTGGTGAGGAACACAGCAGTGGTGAGGAGCAGAGCGGTGGTGAGGAGCACAGCGGTGGTGAGGAGCACAGCGGTGGTGAGGAGCACAGCGGTGGTGAGGAGCACAGCGGTGGTGAGGAGCACAGCAATGGTGAGGAACACAGCGGTGGTGAGGAGCACAGCGGTGGTGAGGAGCACAGCGGTGGTGAGGAACACAGCGGTGGTGAGGAGCACAGCGGTGGTGAGGAGCACAGCAGTGGTGAGGAGTACAGCGGTGGTGAGGAGCACAGCGGTGGTGAGGAGCACAGCGGTGGTGAGGAGTACAGCGGTGTTGAGGAGCACAGCGGTGGTGAGGAACACAGCGGTGGTGAAGAGCATAGCGGTAGTGAGGACCACAGCGGTAGTGAGGAACACAGCGGTGGTGAGGAGCACAGCGGTGGTGAGGACCACAGCGGTAGTGAGGAACACAGCGGTGGTGAGGAACACAGCGGTGGTGAGGATTCCTGGTTGATGGGGTTCTGGGAGTTCTTCTACTCCCCAAGCCCGGCCCGAGGCCAGGCTTGACTTGTGAGAGTTTGGTCCACCAGGCTGTTGCTTGGAGCGGCCCGCAGGCCCACATACCCACCACAGCCCGGTTGGTCCACCACTTTTTTTTAGAAAACAGTCTAGTTTTCTCTTGAAAATGTCCACGGTTGTTCCGGCAATATTTCTTATGCACGCTGGGAGGACGTTGAACAACCGCGGACCTCTGATGTTTATACAGTGTTCTCTGATTGTGCCTATGGCACCCCTGCTCTTCACTGGTTCTATTCTGCATTTTCTTCTATATCGTTCACTCCAGTACGTTGTTATCTTACTGTGTAGACTTGGTACTTGGCCCTCCAGTATCTTCCACGTGTATATTATTTGGTATCTCTCTCGTCTCCTTTCTAGTGAGTACATTTGGAGAGCTTTGAGACGATCCCAATAATTTAGGTACTTTATCGCGTCTATGCGTGCCGTATATGTTCTCTGTATTCCCTCTATTTCAGCAATCTCTCCTGCTCTGAAGGGGAAAGTGAGTACTGAGCAGTACTCAAGACGGGACAACACAAGTGACTTCAAGAGTACAACCATTGTGATGGGATCCCTGGATTTGAAAGTTCTCGTAATCCATCCTATCATTTTTCTGGCTGACGCAATATTTGCTTGGTTATGCTCCCTAAACGTTAGATCGTCGGACATCATTATTCCCAAATCCTTGACATGCTGTTTTCCTACTATGGGAAGATTCGATTGTGTTTTGTACCTTGTATTATGTTTCAGGTCCTCATTTTTACCGTACCTGAGCACCTGGAAATTATCACTGTTAAACATCATGTTATTTTCTGCTACCCAGTCGAAAGCACCGCGGTGGTGAGGGCGTGGCTGAGGGGGCCGGCTGGGGTTGGCTGGGGGACAGAACATACCTGCTATAGAACCACCAATGTCAGGTGTGAGTCCACACCTGACACGGTGTGGTTTGACACCGTCCGTCACCAGACGCCTCTTAGGGTCATCGAGGCCCCTCAGACGACGCAACAACCCACGTACTCCCAGGTACCCATGTACTCCCAGGTACCTATTTACAGTTAGGTGAAAATAGGTACCGGATGGTACAAAACTTTCCAAGGCCTCGCCCTCCCCTGGAGTCTTACCCTGGACCAACCGGTTGAAAGCAGGATGTGGTAGCCACTCCACTGCACATAACCTTGAATGACCACTTCCAACCACTTGGGCTGGACGGTAGAGCGACGGTCTGGCTTCATGCAGGTCGGCGTTCAATCCCCGACCGTCCAAGTAGTTGGGCACCCTTCCTTTTGCCCGTCCCATCCCAAATCCTTATCCTCACATCCCTCCTAATATTAAGTGCTATACAGTCGTAATGGCTCTCACGTCTCTTGAAAGTAATCACCTGAGGTGCTGAACTACCTTAACCAGCCCTAGCCCATCCTTGACCAAGCTTTACCCACACATGTACCACACATACACATTCCTCTCAATGTCTGCTGACGACGCCAAAATTATGAGAAGGATTAAGACTGAGGAGGACAGCTTGAGGCTTTAAGAAGATCTGGACAAGCTGCAGGAATGGTCGAATAAGTGGTTGTTAGAGTTTAACCCAAGCAAATGTAATGTAATGTAGATAGGTGTAGGGAGCAGGAGGCCAGATACAAGGTATCATTTGGGAGATGAAATACTTTAAGAGTCAGAGAGAGAGAAAGACTTGGGGAGACAAGACTCTCCCTTGAGCGCAGGCGGGAGAGATACATAATAATTTACACGTGGAAAATAATTGAGGGGCTGGTCCCAAACCTGCACACAGAAATAACACCACATGAGACCAGAAAACATGGCAGGATGTGCAGAATACCCCCGTTGAAGAGCAGAGGTGCAACAGGTACTCTGAGAGAGAACTCTATCAACATCAGAGGCCCGAGACTGTTCAATACGCTTCCACTACACATAAGGGGCATAACTGGCCGACCCCTCACAGTGTTCAAGAGAGAACTGGATAAACACCTCCAAAGGATACATGATCAACCAGGCTGTGACTCATACGTCAGGCTGCGAGCAGCCGCGTCTAACAGCCTGGTTGATCAGTCCAGCAACCAGGAGGCCTGGTCGACGACCGGGCCGCGGGGACACTAAGCCCCGGAAGCACCTCAAGGTAACCTCAAGGTAACCAAGGGGGTTGACATCACGCCAGACCTGTCCCCTGAAGCCCATATCAAGAGGATAACATCAGCGGCATATGCCAGGTTGGCCAACATAAGAACGGCCTTTAGAAACTTGTGTAAGGAATCATTCAGAACTTTACATACCACATATGTCAGACCAATCCTGGAGTATGCGGCTCCAGCATAGAGTCCATATCTAGTCAAGGATAAGACTAAGCTGGAAAAGGTTCAAAGGTTTTCCACCAGACTAGTACCCGAACTGAGGGGTATGAGCTACGAGGAGAGACTACGGGAATTAAACCTCACGTCACTGAGAGACAGAAGAGTTAGGGGGGGACATGATCACCACATACAAGATTCTCAGAGGAATTGATAGGGTAGATAAAGACAGACTATTTAACACCAAGAGCACACGCACTAGGGTACACAGGTGGAAATTGAGTGCCCAAATGAGCCATAGAGACATTAGAAAGAATTTTTCAGTGTCAGAGTGGTTGACAAATGGAATGCATTAGAAAGAGATGTGGTGGAGGCTGACTCCATACACAGTTTCAAATGTAGATATGATAGAGCCCAGTAGGCTCAGGAACCTGTACACCAGTTGATTGACATTTGAGAGGCGGGACCAAAGAGCCAAAGTTCAACCCCCGCAAGCACAACTAGGTGAGTACACAAGCAAGCTTCACCACTCACGTACACACACAACCTGAGGCTCAATGTCCAGAGAGAACCGTTGAGAGACCCAGAGACACTTGAAGATCTTACACCACCAAACACCACAGTCATTCCAAAGATCTATGCCACCTACGAGCTATTCATGCCCGTGCCACCTACTGGCTATTCATGGCCGTGCCACCTCCTGTGGTGGCTTAATCTTCAAGAGCAACAACAAGAGAGTGGATCAGGCGATGTGAATGCATGTGTGTGTGTATATATGTATGTATATGTGTGTGTATATATGTATGTATATATGTATGTATACATGTATGTATATATGTATGTGTACATATATGTGTGTGTGTGTGTGTGTGTGTGTGTGTGTGTGTGTGTGTGTGTGTGTGTGTGTGTGTGTGTGTGTGTGTGTGTGTGTGTGTGTGTGTGTATATATGTATGTGTATAAAGTATATATGGAAGCTGATCAGAATTACATTTCACCTTTGTAAATGCACATTAATGACACTATGTAAAAGACACACCGAGCACTTTAGGTAGGGCATACGTAAATCTGTGTATCTATATATTTACGTATGTAGGTTAGCTTAGCATTTTAAAAGCACCGAATCACCTTCTGTGGTTGAGTGTTCAATAAACCCTTCAACTATATGTTTAACACATCTCTAACCCTGTCCATGGAGGACAGAAGAAAATGTATATATGCTGGTTAGCATTGTAACTGTGTGGCCACGTCTGTGGTAGAAAATAATAATAATAAAAAAAAAGCCTGGTGGCCAGTCTGTAACCGGGTGGGGGGGGGGGGGCGTAGCCTGACTTCAGGAGAGACTGGAGAAAACGGGGTTCATCTACACGTTTTCTGAGAACTGGCTTAAATAGGTTGGGTGGGTGGGTTGGGTTCGTCCCTTTCAGGTTTGCCACAACAGTTGCAATTTCAACGGAGTGGGAGATGGAGGGGGGGGAGGGGGCACGCTGGATGATTGCTCAGCTAGTCGGCATACCTGGAGTATACCTGGTGAGGTTCTCAGAGTTCTTATATCCTCTCAAAGCCCAGCCTAAGAGTTGGGATATCTTGTGATAACTCGATCTAGTAGGCTGTTGCTCGGCGCGCCCCACAGCCTTCATCTTCACCTCACGAATTACTTATTCTGTGACCTTGTAGTTAAGCTCTCACGAGTTCAGTATTATAAGAGATGAATTTTATTTTGTGGCTCTCACTAGGGGGCCACGTGTTGGTGGCTCTCACTAGGGGGCCACGTGTTGGTGGCTCTCACTAGGGGGCCACGTGTTGGTGGCTCTCACTAGGGGGCCACGTGTTGGTGGTCCTCACTAGGGGGCCACGTGTTGGTGGCTCTCACCAGGGGGCCACGTGTTGGTGGCTCTCACTAGGGGGCCACGTGTTGGTGGCTCTCACTAGGGGGCCACGTGTTGGTGGCTCTCACTAGGGGGCCACGTGTTGGTGGCTCTCACTAGGGGGCCACGTGTTGGTGGCTCTCACTAGGGGGCCACGTGTTGGTGGCTCTCACTAGGGGGCCACGTGTTGGTGGTCCTCACTAGGGGGCCACGTGTTGGTGGCTCTCACCAGGGGGCCACGTGTTGGTGGCTCTCACTAGGGGGCCACGTGTTGGTGGCTCTCACTAGGGGGCCACGTGTTGGTGGCTCTCACTAGGGGGCCACGTGTTGGTGGTCCTCACTAGGGGGCCACGTGTTGGTGGCTCTCACTAGGGGGCCACGTGTTGGTGGCTCTCACTAGGGGGCCACGTGTTGGTGGCTCTCACTAGGGGGCCACGTGTTGGTGGTCCTCACTAGGGGGCCACGTGTTGGTGGCTCTCGCTAGGGGGCCACGTGTTGGTGGCTCTCACTAGGGGGCCACGTGTTGGTGGCTCTCACTAGGGGGCCACGTGTTGGTGGTCCTCACTAGGGGGCCACGTGTTGGTGGCTCTCACTAGGGGGCCACGTGTTGGTGGCTCTCACTAGGGGGCCACGTGTTGGTGGTCCTCACTAGGGGGCCACGTGTTGGTGGCTCTCACTAGGGGGCCACGTGTTGGTGGTCCTCACTAGGGGGCCACGTGTTGGTGGTCCTCACTAGGGGGCCACGTGTTGGTGGTCCTCACTAGGGGGC